ATTGTGGTAGCACCGTGATTGAAAAGATGAAGAAATAGAACTTGAGTTACTTCAATTCTGTCATCTTATTTGACTTCTTGGAATTTTGATTTGTATTTAAGATCTAAAACACAGGGAAATCCAAGGGAGCCAGAATAGTCAAAAACAGTCTTCAAAAAGAACTAAGTTGGAGGATTCACACTTCTCAGTTTGAAAGCTCATCACAAAGCTACAGTAACCAAGACAGTGTGGTACTGGCTTAAGGACAGTCACATAGGTCAATGGAATAGAGTTCAAAGTCCAGAAGTAAATCTTCACATTTACAATCAATTAGTTTTCAACAAAAGTGCCAAAATAATTCAACAGGGGAAAGTGTTTTCAACACGTGGTGCTGGGCCAACTGGATATCCATATGCAAAAGAATGAAGTTGGGCCCTTATCTCACATCAACTGAAAATGGACCAAAGACTTAAATGTAAGAGCTAAAACTTTAAAACTTTTAGAAAAAAACATAGGTGTAAATATTTGTGACCTTGGATTAGGTCATAGTTTCTTAGATATGACACCAATAGCACAAACAACAAAAGAAAAATGGCAATTGGACATCATCACAAAAAATGGAAAGACAATCCATAGAATGAATGTGAGGAAATATTTGCAAATCATATATCTGAGAAGGAACTTGAATCTAGAATATATAAAGAATTTTTACAGCTCAATAATAAAAAGACAAATAATGCAATTAAAAATGGACAAAGAAGGTATATAAATGGTCACTGAGGAAATGAAAAGATGTTCAATATCATTAACCGTCAAAGAATTGCAAATGAAAATCACAGTAAACTACTACTTCACACCCACTAGGATGGATAGAATCAAAAAGTCAGATAGTAACAAGTGTTGGCAAGGACATGGAGAAGTTAGAACCCTCATACACTGCTGGCAGGGAAGTAACATGGTGCAGCCACTTTGAAAAACAGTCTGGCAGTTTCTCAAAAGATTAAACATAGTGTTGTCACATGACCCCACAATTCCACTCCTATGTATATACCCCCCAAAATGAAAACACAGGTCCACACAAAAACTTGTACAGAAATGTTCATAGCAGCATTATTCATAACAGCAAAAAAGTGGAAACAATCTAAAGTTCATCTACTGATGAACAGATAAATAAAATATGGCATATCCATAGAATAGAATATTATTCAGCAAAAAAAACAATGAGGTATTGATACATGCTACAACAAAGAGGAACATTAAAAACGTGATGCTAAGTGGGAGAAGCAGGTCGCAAATGACAATATATTATTTGATTCCATTTATACAAAACTTCCAAAATAAGCAAATCTATAGCCCTAGAAAGTAGATTAGTGGTTTCCTAGGGCTTGAGGGGAGGGGTGGTGGTATGGGAAAACAAGGGGTGATTGATAAAGAGTACAGAGTTTCTCTTTTGGGGGTAATGAAAATATTCTAAAATTGATTGTGACGATAATTCCACAACTCTATGTGTCTACTAAAAATTATCAAATTATACAATTTAAATAGGTGTATTATATGGTATACGTATCTCACTAAAGCTGTTCCCCTAGAAAAAGATTTAAAACAGTGAACCATGGTGCAAACAATAAACTACATAGCTGTGTTATTTTTCCCTTTTTTATTAAAAAAGTACAATGATGCAATTTACTAATCCATTACTTTTTTCCATTTTATCTGTACAGTCATGCTTATTTTATTTTTATTTTTTAATTAACTTTGTTACTGGTATGTTAATATAGGAAGTTCGATAACTTTTTTCATTGTGGGGTTTTTGGACCATTATTATCATTCTTTTCATTGCATGATTATTACTAAAAATAATTTGTCTTAAGAGGAGAGCAATGTTAAAAAATTATTTATCCTAGGTGTCAAATATACTAAAAATGCTACTATTGCTCATTATTATTATTTAGATTTTTGCTCAAATGTCAGCATCTCAGACGAGCCTTCCCTAACCACTCTATTTAAAATAGACGCCACTCCACTTCCCCAAATGACATGACTTTCTACCCTTTACTCAGCTTTATTTTCTTCCTAACTCTTACAATTATCTGATATTATATTATTTATTTGTTTATCCCTGTCTCCTTTACTAGAATGTTAGTGCATTAAAGAGCTGTCTGTCTTGCTCACTTCTGTATCCCCAATGCATAGCACATATTCAATTAATTTTTGGTGAATAAATAAACACTAAAAATTATATCTACTGCTTAAATTTCTTCACATAAAAGATTTAAAAAGATAGTTTTATCTTTGTGCACAATTTCTGTTTTTTTTATGTTGAGATGAAAACAATGATTTTCCCCCTTCTCCTCAGCAGAGTATTTCCTGGATGGACACTGTCTTCTACGATAGACTCCAGAGAGATCTGGACAATCCAAAGCCCTTCATCTAGGACTTCAAAATCCAAAAAATTGTGCCTGGAGTTTTATACCTTTGCATTATCTTCAGCAAGGTTTATGAGCGGTAATTCACTCCACAATGTTTCTTTCTTAAAGTTACCAAAAAAACATAATTTTTAAGGTTAATCAGCTTAGATTATCCCAGAATTCATTACTCCAGTCTAGTGAGAAAAACCAGCCTCCTTTATTGAATCTAAATATTGCTGGACTTTGTTAAACAGACTTCAAAACACTTACTTCTGAAAACTTGACAAATTTTTATAGAAACTCCCTTCTTGGAGCCTGGATATTTTTCCTGTTGTTGCTTTATCTCCTTTTAAAAATAATAGTTGTATTTTTAAAGCAAAGCAGAACTCTGTTACCGTTCAATATTACAACTGTTTGGGCAGGCCATAGGTCAAATTCTGCTCCTCCCAAAATATGCCAACCACACCTAGTATAAAGTTGACCATACTGTTAACTTATAACCCTTTTGTTAGTCATGTGCTGGGATATGAAACTTAAGAAAAAAGGATATTACTGTTTGTATAGGTATGTTAACATGGTATTCCTTCTAGAAAAGGCTTCTAAACATAAGGAAATATTCTTTGGAATACCGTTCTCAAAAGTCTTTTGAATAACAGATTCGGTAGATTTAGATGTTTTTGTATGGATCCTCGGCTACTTAACCAAACTAAAGCCTGCATTGCAGAATGCTTAAGAGCTCTGGATAGAGTCAGAACGCCTATGTTCAAATCCCCAATCTACCACGTACTAGCTGGAGGACCTACAACAAGTTACTCATCCTCTCTATACCCCAGTTTTATAAGCTTTAAAGTGAAGATAATAACAGTGGCCACCTCAAGGGGTTGTGATGGTTCAACACATTAATCCACGTTGACCACTTAGAACTGTGTTTGTTTCACAGGACACTTTATCAATACTCAGTAGCCATTGTTTTCAGGTTGAAAGGAAAAGGACATTTAAAATTAAAGTCTTAGTTACCACTAATATGTATATCAATTAAAAATCAAAAGAGACAATCTCACACATTTTAATATAAAATTAGTAGGGAGACTTTATTTTAGCTTCAGGCTTTCCATGTATGATTATGTTTTATTTGTGCAGCTAAAGCGATGGCTTTCTGAAGTGAAAATTTATGCAGAAGCCTAAAAGATTCGAGATTATTTTCTTATACTGTTGCAGCCTGGTAGAATAAGGATCCATGGCCCTCCCGCTAAGCTTAGACTAGACGCTGTTCTTAAACAGTCACATATTTCTTCATTAAACTGTTTTTTAATGGCCTTTTTGATGACTGCCAGTTTCCCCCACAATAAAAGAAGTTTTGACCCGTGAATTCATTCTTTTAATCTAGTAATAACTTTGAATACATTCACTGAGCATTGAGGACCAAATAAGGAGCCAATTAGTTGTATTTTATCATCTGAATGAAATACGAATGCATCGACTTCATCACTAAACTTAAAAAAGTTGCCTTCAATGGCAAAGGAGTCTAAATATTGTTCTGCTAACTCAAGTTCCTTTTAGAGAGTAAGGAAAGCTGAATTCTCTGTGACCTGAAAACGACTAAGCTTCAGGTTCCCTTTCCCTTTGTAAAGAAAGGCTAGTCAAGCGACCTAGTACTGTTTCTACAGTAGCCTGCCCCATAAAATCACTTTAAGAACTCGTTAGAGCACTGACTGTAAATTATGACCCAGCACAGTATTCATTTTCATAAACAAATGCTGTTTATGTTGCCTTCCTCACTTCTTCTTTATTCTCCTTTCTCATTCACCTAGACATTGGGACGATGTGATGAACGCATCCGCTCACCAAGCCAGCATCTTTGGTAAATAGACATCACAGATCTTCAACTCATCAACCAGTTACAACAAGTCAGAAAAGCAACAACCAGGAGAGTCTGTAATCCTAGGGCAGACACTCTCCAACTGTGTTTGCTTTTAGTAAAAGCACATCCTTTCTCCTCCAGCATTTAGCTTTTGTAGATATCAACCAAAAATATTTCAAAACACACAACATCACCATTCTGTGCTCTCCGCGTAGTGTGTGAGAGATTCCTGAAGCTAACAAAAATATGGTGCGTCTCATCAGCGTGGATTGGAAAAGATCCTCATTGTCCCCATTTTCATGTGCACTTTCTTTGGGGTTTCAAAACAGAAAGTGAAATATCAGTTTTAACTTTAAATGTGTCCCGATAGCTTTGAGGAGTTTCATATTATAAAATTACAAACACAATTGGGATTTACTAGTTATTCATAATCAAATACCGAAATGCATATGTAATGCACTTTTTTCTCTTGAAAACGTATCTTTAGTTTCAGATGGTCTTTCATTTTCCTAATTATTTGCTTACGTTGTTTCTAATATATCACAACACAAGCTCTAATTTTAAATATATTGATCTGAAAATATTTCTACAGTTATTGCTTTTGCAGGATTCACTTTTTTAAAAAAGTTGAGGAATAAGGCAGCTAATGATATAAAGTAAAGATAATTAATAAACCATTTTATGTTTGAAAGCAATTAATTAACTGGGCAGCTAACTAAAGAGAGTACAGAAACCTTAGTTTTAATACTCACAGGTTCTTATTGTGAATTTTTGTTCTGTTGCATACTTTTCTGTCAGGCAAAGTCTCCAGGACGGGAATGGGCCCCTGCCAAGTCTCTGAAAATCGATTGTTCAAAATCTTAATTATAAGAAAGTAAACAAAGAGCGGTTTGAAGCAGTGCAGAGTTCTAATGAGTTAATGTAACAAAACGAGCAAAGTCAACTCTCTTCAAAGCCAGCAGGCTCAGCTCTGACAGTCATCCATCAAACTGAAGGTCTCCTTAATAAATGCCAATTATAGGCATATATGCACAAACGTGGCTAGCATAAGCCATAGGATCATTTCCTCCCAAGAAAGCTAGTGACCAAGAAAACACCCAGGCAGTGCAGGCAACCAGCCCACCCGACAGGAAGGTTTGCTCCTGATCCGAATACTAACCAGCAGGATTTCGCTCTCTCTTTTTTCAGCTTTGGAAAAGTTCAGAACCACACAGAATTTTGTTTGGGGTTATACAAATTCCTTCACAATTTGTATAGAAGTCTAACATAACTTTTTAAAAGCCATGACATGCCCATAATGTATACAGAGTCTCCGACTTCCGCCGTAAGCGAGGCTTTTTCCTAACTTAATCATACTCAAATTTCACCCCTTTTAAAGATCCTGATTCAAAAATGTTCACTCATTCTCCACAGTCCACAAATTTATACCATCTCTTCCTGTGGTATTTTATGTGCATAAATTAAAAAAGAATGGCCTCCAATGAGGATTAAAAGGTTGAAAAAAAATCATAGACTTTCTAAATTTAGTTTCGTTTTTCTTGTTTTAACTCTCAAAATATGTGTGTTAACAAAACATATATATTTTCCTACACTCTTATAAAATAATCCATTCATGTTAACCTTATTACCTAGAGGAAATGCTGGATCGACTCAGGAAGTTACAGCGAAGGCTTAGCATCATGCCACTATGTGACCCAGTATATATGAGAAATAAATATATGAGAACGCTTGAGAAATAACTAAAATATGCCCTCACTGGTACATTAGCTTTTACTGCAGAATTCACGCCATCATATCATTCCCAACCCTCCAAAATGTTTCTCTGCTACCTTTTCCATTATCTACCTGGCCAGGCGCTGAGCCCATCCTAACAGGTTCTTTAGAGGCCCTTGGGGAGGAGAGGGATCTTTCTTAGAGAACATGGCTACAGACCTTTTGTCCAGAAGCCATGGGCCCAAATTTTACACTACAGCACTACTTCTTTAATTGAGATAGGTGGGTTTTCAGAAAGAAGGGCTGTATCCTCCTATGATGACAGAGATAATTAATGGAGTAAATGAAAACGTTTATGTTTGATATTTTTATGCAAATGGATTAGAATAGTCTGCATTAGCCCCAAGTTGATGTCTTATCTAATTGTCCTTTAAAGTGACATCTTCCATCACACATGCAGACCCGTGCTAAATTCATTTATTTCCATCTTGCCTGAAATTATGATGAATGGTCTGAGCTCCATTCGATTATTTAAAATGTGCAAAGAAACAGAAACAATGAAACTGGCAAAGCCCTCTACATTCTTAGGAACAATTTAGGCTAATTAGCATCAACTTCTCCCCCATTCATCATACCCCTTTAGAAATATAAACAAACTGTCAGCTCTAACCTAACAAACAGATCACTGAGCTACTTAACACAAATTATTCTTACATGAAAAGCTCCTTCTCAGGCAATATTCTCCTTTAGGGCATCTGGGAAGCTGAGCTATTAAAATTGAAGACATATGTTCCAGTCAAACTCAACTCCTGGATTGTAAAGATTGCTGTTGTGACAGTTTTCAGTCAGCATACTCGCTGTTGGCAACACAGCCCCAAGCTTGAGCGAAACTAAAGTCAAATGGAATGATGCAAGCAGAGCCCTAGCTGCAGAAGACACCTCACTCTAACCACCACGATGTAGTTAGTGGGTCTCAACTCTCGTGATCTGTTTGAGCTCAAAGGTTTGCTGCGTTGGGTTCTGGAACAATAGGGAGAGGCAGGTAACAAAGGGGGTCTTTGACAAGACGGAGGATTTCATCATGTGTTATTTTTCATTACATCCTATGAGGCTGATGTTACTTAGCTTTCAATATTCAGTTGAAGTCTGTAATTCATGGCCTGTCATCTCAGACAAGGTAGAGAGGAGACAGTTGGAAGGTCCAGGCAGAGAGAAATGTAGCTTACAGATAGACTGGGTATGTCCCCTTCAACGAACTACTTAGAAACTCTGAACTCTTTCCTTTTAACTAACAAGAATAAAAAACTTGTTCACCCCTTTACATACTAGAACTCTGTGGTTAAACTCTACCTGGATATTGGACCAAGATAATATTTTCTTCATTTGTTTAAATGCAGTCACATACACACAGTCGATTTTCATTATTTGCAGTAGTTATGCTCTACAAAGTCACCGTGAACGCTGAATTAGTGAATGCTGAACCCACTGCTCCTAAGGGAAATACAAGGTTAAGTTCCTGTGAGCCTCTGGTCACAACCTTTTCAACAACCAATCAATACACAACCTTATTTTATGTGTGTTTCTGTTTAAAGACACCTTATTTAATATATATTGTTGATTTATTAACATTGAACTCATAACAAACAGCATTATAACTCATGTTGAGCAAAGCTTATCTAACCCATGTATTTCCTCAGAAGGCACATCACAGCCTTCTTGTGTTTAGAAACACTGGGTAGCACCTCAGCACTATGCTTGGGGGCCATTTTAAACAGGAAAATCACCAACAAAGAAGCACAAAAACGTGAAAACAACGTGGCATTAACTAAACAGTCCATGAAAGGGATACTTGTTTACAGCATGAGAGCTGAAACAGGAGGCAGAGCGTCATCTTGTTCAACCTCAGCTGGGAATGTGCGCTTCAGACGACTCAAATTTTTCACCACTCTGCACATGTCCTTGAATGACCGTGAAAGCACCACGAGTATTGATTTTGAGGTTACAAAGAAATTTTAGCAAGTAGGCAAATTCACAAATACTAAATCTGCAAATAATGAGGATCAACTGTATATACACACATACATATTTTCTCCCTTCAGATTTCCCACTGAAGGTCTTTGAGTTTTTTCTCTCAGGGAGCAAGCGTCAGCGTGAAAGTCAAGCAAAGCCTTCACGAGCTAACTGATGATGTAAGTGGCCACAGACTGCCTAGTAACATGATAAGCTACAAGCCGTTCAAATATGTTTGTTCTTTAGCATTCTAGGAACATAAGATGGCACATATAACTACTGCAGTAATAGCATTAAGCCAACCCAGCCCACCCTACATGGTACTGTGTACTGCATCCCTACTTTATCACAGCACTTGAATTACCATTATTTGCTGTAGTGGATAGTTGTTGCTAGCATCCATCTCCTCCCTCCCCCTGCCTACCTAGCTCTCAGATTTCCCACCGATGCTGTTTAAGTAGGGCTGTCTCTAGGTTAGTAGGCTATTGGCCTTTAAGCCAATTAGTGCATGCCATCCCCTTAGCCACAGTGATTCCTTTATGGATGAGCACATGACTCAATCTGGGCTAATGACACACAAGGAGATATTTGCTGAGCACTTCTGGGAAAAATGGTTCCTCTCTGTGAGAGCCATGGTGGGAACCAGCCTCAGGATGAAGCAGATGCTACGGAAAGCAGAGCAGAAAAATGTAAAATACTGGGTCCTTAGTGATCTGGTTGAGCTACTGGAAAAAGTCTCACATTTATCCTACCCTATTTTTTATTTTCCAATTCAAAAACTAATAAATAGCCTTCACTGTTTGCAATTTGAGTGAGGTTCTGTTTTTCTTGTACTCAAGAGAATTCTGATATGTTTACATGCTAGTTTTAGCCTCCTGCTCCTACCACACACACACACACACACACACACACACACACAGACACACATTGAAACAAACATTAATTCCCTGAATTATCTTTTGTTCATCTTCTTATATACTCTTTACTTCCTGGCATCACGACTGATAATAGCAGCCACTGATAAATATATTGAATTTAATTAGTAGACTGGAGAATACCTTCCATGGATGTGATCATAAACAGTATACCGCCTTAACCACAGAATGGTTAATCAAGATGGCTCTTAGCACATTGCTGCTCACTCATGAGAACAAAGTTCTTGTTATGATTACCTTAAATATAGAGTGACTTAGTCTACATTACACACACCTGTCCCATAGAAGACTAAAATCTTAATATAAGCGATCAAGTTGTTTTTTACTTTATGAAGTAAAAATACAAAGATAACTCCATCTTGTCTCCTGCCCATCCCTCTAAGTAGGATAACTTTGGAATACTTATTCTTTGGTTTGTCTGGATTGGGATAAAATGAATAGAGCTGAATGTTACCCAAGCCCCTCGTTCAGAAATGTAAAGCAATATGCCAACTTTTTAGAGTTTCTGCCCAGCCTTTTCTTTCTCTCTGGGTGGTTTTAACAGCCATGGTTATTTGTGGATGCAAAACTGTGTATATAATAAATTGCAACTGCAACTGAGTAACCTCAGAGCAACTGACAAGTGACTAATTATTCCCACAGGTGGCCAACTGCTTTGGCAATTAGCCCATTGTGGGCAAAATTCATTGCGTGTAAGAAAGAGGCTTCCTTTTCAAAATATCCACACCTCCTTTTTGGAGGATGAATGGAGAGGAGAAGACTCACAGGAAAAATGGGGGAAGGGATGAAGGCATAAGGGGTAAATGGAAAAATTAATGGTTTCTTCAACAAACAAACGATTTAATCTGAATTTGCCTTCCAAGGTGGTGGAATTCTACCTAACCGCCCCCCACCAAAGAAAAAAACCTCAGTAACAACCTTAAAGAGAGATCAGGCCATCTAGCTAAACATTTTAAATAATTCTAAGTTCACCTGCTGTGAACAAATATTTTCTCTTTAGTTTATTGTGTGTTTCAGAATTGTTTGAGGGAGCCTTTAGCACTTTTTGGTGACTCTATTTTACCCCATTCTTCATAGTATATAGCAAACAGCATTAAAGAGTTGTGTCTAAATGTATATTTTTTGTTATTTATCTATGATTATACTATTTCATTAGGGTCCTGCTAAAATGTCTCGTCT